TTTTTTTTTTTTTTTTTTTTAAGTAGAGACGGGGTTTCTCCATGTTGGTCAGGTTGGTCTCGAACCACGGACCTCAGGTGATCTGCCTGCCTCAGCCTCCCAAAGTGCTCAGATTACAGGTGTGAGCCACCGCGCCCAGCCCAAAAGTACTTTTTCAGACAGCATCAGAGTCTGATATTATTACAAAAATTTAAGAATATTTAATACCACATCTAGAACATAATAGGCACTAGATAAATGACATCTATTAACAGCATCTAAACATGAGGTAGTATTAGTTAGGTTTCAGAGAATTACTTGGAGTGAGCAAAGGAAGCCATTTTTTCCAAGAGGAGGGAAGAGAATGAGGATGATTAAGCCAAGAAAAAAGAAAAATAATAGATCAGTGGACCCCATTTTACACATTTCCCTCGTGGGTTGACCACCTGTTTTTCTACCATCTTAGCACTTGGGGAAAACTCTCTTGGAGATGGGCTTACTAGCAGCAGGAAGAAGCAAGACTGATTCATTTGACCATGAAGGATGTGAGATGCTGGAATCCGGAAGTGAAGCAGGGTGTGGTAACCACACTCCCAGGACCTCTCAGCACCTGGTCAGGCCAAGCAGTTGCTGGGCTGGGCTGGGCTATTGCTGCCCTGAGGCAGAAAAGTGAGCCGAGAACTTGAAGGAATTAGATAACCTGCCCTTCCCCTCACCCATTAGTTCCCAATCAGGTCTTCAGAATCCCCTTGACTGATGCTCAGAACTTCAGCTTCTGGCAGTCCCATGATCCAGGAGTGCGTCCAGAGGAAACCATGCCATGGATCCGGAGCCCACGCCACTGTCTCATAAAAAGCGAGATGACCAGGTTAGGCTGGGAGGGGCATAAGGGTGGGGAGGTCAAGGAAAGTACTCCTTCCCTTTACTTCAGTCTTAGAGACTATTTCATCTCTGGTCAGTTAGGGAATTAGGAGAGATTTGAGTCTTACCAGAGAAAACTGGCCCCAGAATTTGGGCCATGATGGCATTAAAAGGAGTTAAAGATTTGTCTGTGTCTTTGTGTTCCTCTTTGTGGGTGTGACTTCTGAGCTGGTGCAAAACAAGTGTCCATAGTATTCCTGTGGCAGTCCAATGCTGCTTTCATTGCTACCTCTCCACCTCTCAAATCACCATCCATTGGCAGTAGCCCCACTTTTTCATCACTACCCCTACTCATTCTGCCCTGAGGCGGTTTGGGGAGCTATTTATTTATTTATTTATTTATTTATTTATTTATTTATTTACTGATAGAGACGGAGTCTAGCTCTCACCCAGGCTGGAGTGCAGTGGCGCGATCTC